TGATTAAAGAAAAGAAATGCTGAAAGTCCTTGTCTTCTGGTGACATCATGAACCTTCTACAGGTGTAAATTATGTAAGAGGATTTCAGCCATTGGGCATCTTCCCATGTTCATGGGAAAAGCCTCTTCTTTCCTCCAATATCCCCTGTCTTTGACCCCTAGATAACATGAACACTCATGGAGTTCATTTTCATTTAGCAAGTCTCAAAATGTGTTAGCATGCAAACAATGTAGCATTGATGTTAACTTATCTATACATATGCTTGGCTGATATCAGGTTGTAAGATAAATTGTTTGAAATCAGAATGGATAATGTGTATTCATCAGTCAAAAATTAAATATTTAGCATTTGTTCTGTGCATCCAGGTATTAAAGTACAACAGGATATATGTGCCTTGGTTTGGTAGAAGCAAAAGATATAACTTAGGAAGATACAAAAGCAGCTGATGTACTGGGAAATGCTGCCACTTTCTTGTTTACGGAGAACTTCTATTAAAAAAATGAATGTGCTGCCAAAAATACTGTTTTTGTTTATGAATTTACCCTTCAGAGTGGAGTAAATTAATTAAGAAATTTATATGTGGTGGTAAACTCCACAGTGGCATTGAAAATACTGACACAAACAATTAGCGGAGGTATTACATATTAAATTATATTACAGAGCACTTAAAGTGGCAGAAATAAAGGTCTAGTATTTGACAAATAGGTATGTCAGTATTAGAATAGACATTAAATAAAGGTCTAAAGCTGAAAGATTCAGTTTCATAAAAGTGGATTTAAGGAGGACAATGCAGTAACAGACTCTATACAGTGGTGCCTCGCTTTACGACTGACCCGTTTAATGACAAAACTGCATTACGATGAACTTTTTGCAATCGCAAAATGATGTTTCCTATGGGGGAATTTCGCTTTGCAATGATCGGTTCCCTGATTCGGGAACCGATTCTTCGCAAAACGACGATTTTCCAACAGCTGATCGGTGGTTTCAAAATGGCCGCTGGGTAAACAAAATGGCCCCCTGCTGTTTTCTGGGACAGATTCCTCGCTGCATAGGCAGTGAAAATGGCCACCCTATGGAAGATCTTCGCTGGACAGTGAGTTTACAGCCCTTTGGAACACATTAAACAAGTTTTAATACATTTCAATGGGTTTTTTCTTTTCGCATTATGACATTTTCGTTCTACAGCGATTTCGCTGGAACGAATTAACGTCGTAATGCAAGGCACCACTGTATTATCAGAATGGTATAAAGCCAGATTTTATTAAATCTAGAGATCTCACCTGTATTATATACAATTTTGTGAGGTGTCTTCCTGAACTAATTCCAGAATTTGTAGAAAGAGGAGAACCAGGTATGTTGGAAAGATCAAATGATGGTTATCACAGATCTTAAACTATAAGAAATTTACAAATAGGCTGGGGGCAAATAAGCCACAGCTTTTCCAGTTTTTCAAATCCAGACCGTAACAACTGTTTTACTAAGAGAAAATGGAGGATGAGATCAAAGATAATGTTGGAGTCAGCAAGAACTGAAAATCATAGTTCTGGGGGAAGGACATGTAAAAATTATTCACTGTTATAGGACTTGGCTACCACTCCCCAAGGTTTTATGAAGAAATGGGAAAACGACTTGCAACTTAATATAACTTGACTGAATGGAAGCGGATTTGGGGAAATGTTAATTCAAAATTAATTTCAGTGAGTTGGAGAGAGAATTGTAGTTAAAAAAACCCTTCCAGCTCATAAATTAGCAATTATATATAAATATAAATATTTATATAAACCACAGTTAAATACGTGCTGGAAATGTCATTCATTACATGTAGGTATGTCACATGTATTTTGGTCTTCTCTGAAAATATGTTTATTTTGGCAAACTGAGGCCAACTTTATTAATGATATGTTAGATATTAATATGCCAGTAGATATTGCCAGACAGCTATAGCAAAGCACTGGGTGGAGAGAGAAAAAACAAGTCTCCTTCCATAAATGGCTGGTTTAACTTTATCTGGAACATTACCCTTTTAATTAAACTTATCATTTGCAAGGTACAAATAAATTTCATGAATGATGGTCAATATTGTTATGTATTGGATGGCAAGGTAAGAAGCAGAATTGACTTTCTTACAGAAACTTGATGGCATGTATAAATATTTGCCACATTCCCTCTCCTTCTCTTATGTCTGATGAAGTGGACTTGTCCACAAAAGCTCGCATTACGGAATATCAAAATTAGACTTTATATTAGTCTAGCCACCACGTTTTTGTCTTTTTTAAAAACTCTTTATGTTATTTTGTTCTTACCTATAAGAAACAGAACGCACCCTTTTGCCTCACTGAATTGTAACAGAAATTAGTATTAGTAATAAAATTATTTTTAAAATCTCCTTCCATCTGGGAGTTATAATCAGAACTTGAACATAACAGGAAAATTAGGGTTCTTCGGTATGTAACTGTGAGTTTTTAGAGCTCTGCTTTCAGAATTGCAACTATATTTATAACAGGAATCTGCTGAGAAGATAAGATCTCTATCCAAGTTCATCCGCTCCAGGTTTCCACTTTTTCAAAAATACAGTGGATGGTATTGGTCAATGGTGACACATATTTCAGATGATTAGCCTGTTTTCCTCCTATGGATTTCCTCAGAGATGCATGCCTCAACAATCAGGCTTGCAAATGAAGCCTTTGTTCACCTTCCAATGACCAACTGCAAAACACAGCATGCAAGATACCGTATTTTTCTGAGCATAAGACACCCACATGTATAAGACATCCACTTTTCTAACCCAGAATTTCTTTCTTGCAAGGAAAGTTGAGGGGGAAAGCAGGAATCATCAGAGTGATTCATCAAAGCAATTCCTGCTTTGCCGTTCCACTTTATTCTCAAGAAAGTGGAGGGGGAAAGCAGGAATCAAAGCGCTTTCATCCCCGCCTTCTTCGGAAGAAGGTGGCAGGGGACAGCACTTTATATGGAAGAAAGTGGAGGGGAAAGCGGGAATCATTAAAGCGATTCATCAAAGCAATTTCTGCTTTCCCCCTCCACTTTCTAGTGAAGAAAGTGCTTTCCCCGTCCACTTTCTTCCAAAGAAAGTGGAGGGGGAAAGCAGAAATAGCTTTGATGAATCACTTTGATGATTCCTGCTTTCCTCCTCCACTTTCTTCCGAAGCACTTTTTTGTGAGGAAAGTGCTTTCCCCCTCCACTTTCTTTGCAAAAAGTAGAGGAGGAATGCAGTGATAAAACTGCTTTGATCCCTCCTCCCTCCTTACTTCCGTATATAAGACAACCTAAATATTTTAGAGAAAAGTATCATCTTATACATTGAAAAATATGAATATGGTACTTCACATCTCTCAGAATCTAAGTATTGTAGTCTGTTGTTGTTGTTCTTTAAGCTTTCTGATCTCTGATTTAGAAAATGATGGGTAGGGGAATTTGTAGGACGTTGCCACTCAGAGATTCTTGTGATGGGCCATAAGCCTGAACCATTTTTTTCTGCTCAAATCTTACCACATGTGGAAAGCTAGCAGGAAAAGTGTTCTAATCTTGCTTGCTCTCTGCAATATTAAATTTCTATAGGTGTGATAGATTAGTCATTCTCAACCTTTTTGGCCGTTTCAGGAGCTCTTATCAGTTTCTGGGGTTCCCTATCAAACAAGGATACAACACAAACAAATACCTTTCAGAAATTGAGGGGGGAAGCAGGAATTGCTTTGATTAATCGCTTTGATGATTCCTGCTTTCCCCCTCCACTTTCTTTGCAAAAAGTGAAGGGGGAAAGCAGGTATCAAAGCACTTTGACCCCTCCCCCTCCTTACTTCTGCGTATAAGACAACCCTAAATTTTAATCTAAATATTTTAGAGAAAAGTATTGTTTTATACATGGAAAAATACAGTATGTAATGAGAAAGATCCTGTGCTTTCACTAACTGGAGGAGCTCTGCTAAAAATATGATAAATGTAGCATCTAGTTTTAGTTGGCTTGATAGTCCAGTGAATCACAGTACTGGAGAGCCAGGGATCAGGAATTTAATTCCACACTGCCTTGTAGGAGAAGAGCCACCCTGTGCATCCATGGGCAAGCTGCACTATCCCAGAGTTCCCCCAATAAACCACTTTTGAGTACTTTATACCTAGAAAGATATTTATACCTAGAATGTCCTGGAAGAGTCTCCATAAGTTGGAATCAACTTGACAACACACAGTTGTTATTATTATTATTCGTGTCTAGTTTGACCTCAAAACAGCCTTCTTACCACTGGTTCCCCAGCCATGAAATGTGCTACACAAGGCAGGTTCATGAAGTTTGACTATGTCCTTATTGTAGTTTTTACACTGGGTTTATATATCATTCTTTTAAAGAGAAGAAGGGGCATGGGAATATTCTTAGTAGAGTCATGGTGTTGTACATTACCTTTCCCAATGGCTGCAAACATTTGGGTCATCTGGGTTCAACGAAACAGTGGCTTTCAACAAGAGAGAAAGGGAGAGGACTTTGAGATTCCACCACAGGAGAAGCTGAAACATGGTCATTGATTTCTCTTTGCTGAAAAGGAAAAAGAAACAACACTAGAAAAAAGGAGAGGCGGACTGTGAATGGAAGACCTGTGTCTCTGGTACAAAGTCATTAAAGAGGCAATGCAAGGGCAGAAAAATTATGAACATCCTCCTTTACCATCTATCTGAAAACATAAACAAAAAAAACAGCAATTGTTCAGTCTCGTTTGCATGTGTTGACACCAAGGTTACTAGACTCCAGGATACATTATAAGTAGAGGGGGACAAAAATCAATTTTCACATCTTATTAAGAGATGTTGGTGAGAACCCACTTATTTTTCAATTTTATAAAGTGCCCATTTGACCTAAAGACTTAAATGCTCTACCATACCTGAGATCGTTGCTTCCTGTGCCATACTGTAATAATCTGATATTCACTCTATCCTCTTGATAACAATCTATGTACATTAAATACCAATCTCTATTCATTCATTCATTGTCTGGATTTATACCTTGTGCCTCCAATACAAATAGTCCCATAGTGGCTTATGGATAAATAAAAACAAGTCAGTTTATGTCTTTGGGCTATAGAAAAGGAAATATGAACTGGGAAGGCAAAAGGGAAATTCGAGCATGAATTCATAATATTAGAATAGCAGTGGGCAAATGTTTTTGCTAAAATAAATGTTTTTTCATGTCCTATAGCAGGCGTAGGAAAGCATTTTGCCATCTTTTGAAGCCCCACCTACCCCACATCTACAATACTTTATTTTTTAAGGCTACTAAAAAGCAAAAGTGGGCTTTTTCTGTTAAAAGTGTTTTTTTCTATCAGTTAAACCCCATTAACCAAGGACAGGATAGATTTTAGAACTAGAATAGATTTTAACTCTGGCAGACAATTTATATTGGGCAACTGTCAAGGGGAGTGAATATTACAGGTACAGTGGTGCCTCGCTAGACGATGATAATCCGTTCCATTGAAATCGCTACTTAGCGAAATCATTGTCTAGCGAAAAGCATTTCCCCATTGGAATGCATTGAAACCTGTTTAATGCGTTCCAATGGGGAAGAATCGTCATCTAGCGAAGACTGGCCATAGGAAAGCCACTTTGAGAACCGCGGATCAGCTGTTTAAATAGCTGTCTTGCAAAGCTTAGGTCCCGAAAACAGCTGTTTTGCGAGCGCAGAGGGAGCTGTCAAAATTGTCTAGTGAAAATCAGTTTGCGAAGCAGAGACCAAACATTGTCCAGCAAAATTCCCCCATAGGAATCACTGTTTTGCGAATCACTATAGCGATCGCAAAAAGTCAATGTCTAGCGAAAAAACTGTCATGCAGGTTAACTGTCTAGCGAGGCACCACTGTAGTTCTGTTCATTCTCCTGAGCCTTCTGATAACTTTGTTGCCATGAACCCTAATCTCCTCCTGGTCTACCTCACTGGACTGGATTCAGGGACATGGCATTACACTGATGACACTGACTTTCATCAGTCAGTTTCAAAATGTGGCCTTGTGGATTGAGCCACATGGCGTGAGAGTACTGCGAGGTTCCACCTTATCCGCCATGCTAATTTAACATCTGAAACTTTTATGACACCCTTTGGCCATGTCATCAGCCATGCCATGGCCCTTCAAGCCCAGTCTCCTTGGGAGCGTAGCCCTGCCGAGATTGCCCACGCTTAGGTTGAAAAGTTCTTAAAGTCAGCAAGTCTAATGGCACAACGGCTGATCTTTTTATCACAACTAAAAAGAATAGAAGATGGTTAAAATAATAATTTTAAAAAGGTCCTCAATAGTGTTTCACAAGCTTGGAAATTTTGCTTCTTTGTATTACATATCCCAGAATTCCTAGCCATCATGTTGTATTCTAAAAATGCAACATTTCCAAGCTCAGCACTGGTCTTTCAACTGAGTTAATGGAGTAATCTTGCTCCATAATTCCCCTTTCCTCTGCATCCCAAGGGAAATGGATTTTTGAGTACTGAGTATTCAATGGAACACATTTTCCTGGAAGAGCAGCTATGATATTTAAGAGGAAGCAAAATAAGAATCTCCTGAGAATTAGGTAAGTGCTTTCCTTTCCATGCTTTCTTGGTGAGTAAATGGGGGCAGTGTACAGAGGAGCATTTAGTCATGTAAGTCCCCACTTATAATCAGAAACAGCAGAGTATACCCCCAAATTTATCTCCTCAGTTAAAACCAGTCCCTCTTAAACAGCATACTTGTCTCGAGTTACAACACATCTCTCTTACAGAAGGAAATATGGAACCAAAGTTGTAGCTCAGGGGCGCACATTTCTAACAAGGCTGAGGGCCACTAGTTCAGGTAAACTGTGCTACTCTTTCTACCCCATCAAATTCAACAGCACATTAATAGCAAATGGATTGTGCAGTATAAGTTAACTGGATGATACAATCCAGGGCAATTAGCTTCATGTTCACTATGAGTCTTTGAATCATTATCACTGCATGAACATGTATTTTCCCCCATCTGACCTCCAACATTTGAGACCCTTGCATGGGTCTGGCTCAATTTCTCAAACAAAGAGGTGGGAAGGACATTGAAAACAAGGGTCCAAAATTTCCCCAAGGGTCCAGTCTTCTGCTTAAAGGGCCTGTTCTCTTTCATATAAAGTTTGAAATTTCAAAATACCAGGAACCTCATTATAAAAACAACCAGCTGTTAGAAAGGCAGAGCGGCCACCAAGACTTCAATCTGCCTAACATATCTTAACATGTCTTAACATAACCTAGATGAATAAAATGGTTTTTGTGTGTCGACAACCAACCAACCATGTTGGTACCTGGCGGATCTCTGAAGGGAAAGTAAGGGGAGTTCCTCTTTTCTGAGATCTGTTACACAAGAATATTTGTAATTTTAGAAGAGATCGCCATGTTAGTCTCAGCAAGCACTAGAGACAATAAATAAATAAATAATAAAATTTTTTTTAAAAAATTAAAAAGAACAAAAATGTTGTGGCACCTTAAAGATTAATTGTTATATTTTAATGTGAGCTTTCACAGAAAAGTCCACTTCCTCAGAAATAAGAGAGAGATCTCCTTAGTATAATTACCATGCATGATGGTTCAGCTGCTATTATTCCATCCCATGGATTCTCACAATGTATTCTCAAAGGCTTCTTTTATAGTACAATCATCAATGGAATGGATCTGAATACCAACAGAGGCTAATACCTCAGTGTTACCTCACACCTTCTGCAAGTTTTTAACCAACCATGGTCTATGTACTTTGATGCTACGTATACAGGTATAAAAATCTGCCATGTTATATCTCTCGCTTATGTTTGGGGAAGTGGACTTTTCCACAAAAACTTATATTAAAATATAACCGTTAATCTTTAAGATGCCACAATGTTTTTGTCCTTTTTATTTGTTCTTTCTTTATATATATTTTTTGTTTTTACCTAAAAATAGTCACTTTTCCTGTAGCTGGTATGACTAGGGCAAAAAAAGAGAGGGACCAAACATGTTTTGAGGACAAACACCGCCTCGGTGATACATCCTCAGCACCTCTTATCACATTTTTGGCCACATTTTTCCTCCTCCTCCTCCTCAGTTCCTCACAGAGGATGCATCCCACAAAGCTAAATTC